ACTTTGGACTATTTTGCTTATATCTTGAATGGTAGATGGAGGAGCTCGGTCTCTAAATCTCAATAAATGTGACTGTACCTTTTGTTTTTGATTTCAAGGAACGGCTCTATTTCAGTGTATTCAAACAGTGAAAGATACTATACGCGCTCAACTCATTTCTTCATGCAAACCCGGCCACGTCTACCACGTTGCCATGGACCAGTACTACACGCCCATGAGCCAATTCGCAAGACATTGGTTATCAAGTTCCTTTCAGCGGCAAAGGCACGGTAACAAGGCAGGATAACTCAGCTCATGTCACTGTCTGTTTTCTATGTTTTCTTTTTCACATCAAAACTTACGAGATGGAATTTCTGCCTCCTCCCCTTCCCCCCCCCCTTGGGAAGGCCTCCTCAGCCGCGCGTCCACCTCCGCTGTTTACTTCATAGTCAATTCTGGCATAATCTCCCCTTTTTATTTTGTCAAGTAAAATGCATATCAAAAACATGCAAGCTTGGCATGTACTTTTACGCCACCCTTCCCCCCTTTCTGATATTGGATGTCAAACGAATGGTGCCAGTCCAGTTCTCTTGATATTTACATACTTACCCCTCCACCGCTAGCCAGACAAGGGTTCCCGCTTCCCCCTCCACCCCGCGTTTGCCCGCGGTGTCAAGGTGGGGGAGTAATCGATTCCGTCCAGCCTACTATTTAATTTATGTATTGGTGTTCCTACAAACAAGTTGCGGAACATGGGGTACCCCAGGTTCCCCAATTCCTCCGGTCGGAGGGGCCGACGGAGCTGGATACCGACGTACTTTGTGGGGAACCTAGTCCTCAAGATAGAAGTGATTGCACGACAAGCATAAGATGGCAAACGGGTGGAAGCACCGCCCCGGGAATGAGACATTGTACTTGTAACTGAATTTTCCTGTTCGCTCTGGCTCCTCCTTTGATTTCACATTACTCAAATCCACTACTATCATGACCAACTCCTCTGGGGATGTTTACGAGAAGAACTCTCCCAGTATCGACCACGCTCACATCGAATCCATAGAGGCCGGCAACAATCAGCACCTGCGACAAGGAACGCAACGTCGCCTCACTGCACGGCATGCCATCTTCATTGCTTGGGGCGGCACCGTGGGAACTGGCCTCTTCGTCACCACAGGCAAGGGACTGTCCCGCGGTGGTCCTGCATTCCTCGTTGGCAGCTACATCATAATCTCGCTGCTCGTCTACTCTATTCTCACGGCCATTGTCGAGATGGCGACCTTTCTGCCCGTGAGGGGCGGCTCCATGAGCCATTACGGCACTCAATTCGTATCTCGTAGCTGTGGCTTCATGATGAGCACATTGTACATTTACTCCTTTGCCATCCTCATTCCCTTTGAGCTCGTCGCATGCGCCATCATCATTGACTTTTGGCGCTTGCCCGTGCCGAGTGCCGCATGGATCACCATCTTCGGAGTGTCCCTGATTCTTCTCAACGCGTTGCCTGTGCGGTGGTATGGCGATGCAGAGTCCGTCTTCACTGGTGTCAAGATTTGCACCATATTCGGCCTTCTTATCCTCGCCATTGTTCTTTTGTTTGGCGGCGGTCCTGGCCATGACAGGCTCGGGTTCCGGTACTGGAAGCATCCCGGCGCAACCAAGACCGTGATTCTAGACGGGCATGTTGGTAGATTGGTCGCTGCAGTTGCGACGTTTGTGGGCAGCGTTTTACCATTTACGTTTACTCCTGAGATGATTGTCGCCACGGCCGGGGAAATCCAGAGTCCGCGGAGGAATGTGCCCAAGGCAGCCAGGCATTTCACTTGGCGACTAATTGTAGCCTTTATTGGGAGCGTTATGGGCATTTCCATCATTTGCCCGTCAGACGCCGAGGCACTCACAGCCGGCTCGGATGCCGGGTCCTCCCCCTGGGTTGTTGGAATCCGCATGGCTGGGATCAGTGGCTTGGACAACGTTATCAACGCCGTCATCCTCGTTGCCGCCTGGTCCACAGGCAATGCCTTTTTCTACCTTGCCAGCAGAGCCCTCCATACTATGGCGTTGGAGGGCAGTGCCCCTGCCATCTTCAAACGCTGTACCGCAAAAGGTGTACCTATCTATGCGGTTGGCGCTATATCGCTCGTCTTGCCGCTCGGTTATCTAACCATAAGCACTTCAGCCCTGGATGTTCTCTACTGGCTGCTGAACTTGGTGAACACGGGAGGCTACATCTCCTGGGTCTGCTGCGGCGTCACCTATCTTCGCTTTCGACGCGCCTGCGAGGTTCAAGGGATCCCCGACTCCCAGCTTACCCAGCGTTCGTGGATGCAGCCATACGCGTCGTATGTGACAATCATTGTCTTTAGCATTCTGTGCTTCCTCAATGCTTTTACCGTCTTTTTCCCAGGACACTGGTCACTGGGTAACTTCATTTCTGGTTACATTGGACTCCCTGTTTTCATTGGCATCTACGCCATACATTGCTTTGCTCACAAGTCTGAGCCGTGGGTCGTACCCATCAACGAGATTAATCTCCAGATCAGTGACGAAGAGTTGAGTGACATGACGCTCGAGCACGAGGCTGTGAGTGAGCTGTCCACCTGGCAGCGCTTGAGCAACATAGTCCGCAAGCGAGCCTGAATACTGGCACAACGGAATCAATTTGGGAGAGGTTGCGTCCGTTTACTGGCTGATTGCTTATTGGGTATTCTTCTTGCTACGATTTGAGGGCTACATATTAGGCGCCCAGTCTCATCTGGGAATGGCTAGCACTCGGTTCCCTAGGCCATGTGTAGCTAATATAAAGACTTGATGACGTTTCCCAACCTTTTAAAATGGTTCCTACAGAGAGAATTGAGTGTAATGGGACTCGGGAAAGGCTTTTTTGATGCGTGGTTTGTCGACTTGATATCAAAAGCCTGGTGTCTTCTGTCGTAAATGGCGAAAATTTGAAGGAGAACATCAACTTTGTCGCCTGGGTTGTTCGGCTAAACAGCGACATGATCTCCTGTCTTGTATGTGAGGCTGGAATCACCCAGATTGACTTGGATGAAAGAAACTACTTTTCTGCGAGAATGTCCTATTAGGATTGAAGAGAGAGTATACTATTACTATGCTGGTGATGTTCGCTCTATGAACACGCAGTCCTAACGAACAAATCCAGCATCGATGACAATATTGGCTCCTGTTAAGCTTCTATTCTTGGCTAGACTCAGCACCTGTTCCGCAACGTCCTATACGGCAATTATCAGTAGGATACCTTGTTAGAATATTGGCGGTTCTTACCTCGAGTCTGACGAATCGTTTGAGTCTTGTCTGGTTTTTGTGCTGCTCCTTTTCTTCGTCTGTGAAGCGTTTTGACCAGTCCTTTTACAAGTCAGCAATGACTGCGGCTCAATTGCTATGTCCTGCTTCACACTACGCACTGTTTCAAGCATTCCCGGTGAAATAGTATTCACACGGATTTTAGGGCCCACCATCGTTGCGACTCCTTTCATCATATGAATCTGAGCTGCCTTCGACACACCATAAGCCTAGAGAAGGGAGGTCAACATTCTGTTGTCTAGTTAGGGAATAGATGACCTCACCAGTGAGTTTCCCATTCCACTGACATCTGCAATCGATGAGGTTGTTACGAAACAGCCCTCAGTTTCCGCCAGATGCGGCATGGTAGCTTGCAAAAGCCACAGGTGTGACTTTACATTCATGGTGTAAGCCCGATCCCAATCTTGCTCAAAGACGTTGTCATCGAGACGGCACGTGTCCCGAAACTGAGACCACCCGACATTGGAGAAGACGACATCGAGGCGACCCGTGTGTCCGTGTGTTTCCCAGACTAGGCGGCCGACCTCGGTTCGGGATGACAGATCAGCTTGTATGTGAAAATGGTCCCTGTTGCTGGCTACTTTCAACTCTGACAGAAGCGTGGCAGCGCGAGATTTATTCGAATTATAGTTGAATGCAACCCTGTAACCATTGCGGGCAAAGTGCAGGGCCACGGCCCTGCCTAGTCCAGCTGAGCCGGCTGTGACGAGGATAACGGGATCTGCGGCCATGTTATTTGTCACTATAGTATCGTGTCGATGATGAAAAGCTCAATGTGGCACCAGATGGCTGGTCATCTATATTTCTCAGTTGTTGGCATTGAAAGTCTCCGACCTTGATGAGGCGCGCCCGAGCCTGCCTCGGGCGGTGGAGAGTCACACCTGTGGTCGGCATGGCCGCTTTCCCCAGCGCGCCGATCGACCAATATTTCGGAGGATCCGATGGTGCGACCGAAAGCCAAAGATTATAGAGTGCGGGCGAGATCAATGATAAACCTGGCTGGGAGCGGTACAATGATACATTTCTTTCTCCAAACGCTCCAAGTCAATGAATGTATGCCAGCATACTGAGACCTTTTTTTTTATCATGTCCTCGATGTCTTTCAAATCCCAAAGTACCTTTGACCTGCTGGTGCAGAAATTACATGTCCTCAGTGAGCAAGAGCACCTTGTCTCTGTTGTTACGGCGGTCGTCATTGCTGCCCTAACGTACATCATCTACAATGTATGTTTTCCCATCTCTCGTGAGCCAGCGTTCGTTCGCTCATCCACCTTCAAGGTCATGTACGCCACAGATGTACCACACATTCACGGCTTACCGGAAATTCCTGGAGCGGTTCCCGTCTTTGGCCATCTTTTGAAGCTCGGCGAGGACCATGCAAGCACTTGCGAGAAGTGGTGGCGCCAGTACAAGCACTCGGTTTTCCAGGTGAAGCTGGGCAACACCCGAGTCGTGGTGGTCAACTCTTTCGATGACTGCAAGAAGATGCTGCTGGCCAACCAAAACGCAGTCATTGACCGCCCAAAGCTGTTTACCTTTCATGGCCTCATCAGCAGCACTCAGGGCTTCACTATCGGCTCATCGCCTTGGGACGAGTCGTGCAAGAAGAAGCGAAAGGCAGCTGGTACGGCTCTAAGTCGTCCTGCGCTGAGGAACTACTACCCCATGTTTGACCTGGAAAGCTTCTGCATCCTGCGAGACATGAAAAAGGATAGCCAGAACGGTCAAGTCGAGATTGACGTGCGACCCTACATTCAGAGGTTCGCACTCAACACCACACTGACCCTGTGCTACGGTATACGCATGGACGCTGTCTACGATGATTTGCTGCGTGAGATTCTCCATGTTGGCTCCTCCATCTCCCTACTACGCAGTGCATCTGAGAACTATCAAGACTACGTGCCAATCATGAGATACTTGCCCAACAATGAGAAGAATGCCCGTTCCAAGGAATTGCGTCATCGCCGTGACGTCTACTTGGACCTGCTGCTGAACAAGGTGCGGGAGATGATAAAAAACGGCACCGACAAGCCGTGCATCGCTTCAGCCATCCTCAAAGATCAGGAGACTAAGCTTTCTGGCGTCGAGGTCTCGTCCATCTGTCTGTCCCTGGTCTCTGGTGGCTTCGAAACAATTCCTGGTACTCTGACCTCGTGCATCGGTTCCCTCTGTACCAAGGAAGGCCAGGTTTGGCAAGACCGTGCTTACGAGGACATTAAGCGCCACTACCCGGACATTGGTGAGGCGTGGACCTCGTGCATAAAGGAGGAAAAGATTCCCTACATCAACGCCATCGTCAAGGAAGCTGGTCGGTACTACACCGTCAGCTCGATGAGTTTGCCGCGAAAGACTGTAACCGAGGTCAACTGGAATGGAGCCATCATCCCTGCCAAGACGATGATTCTCATCAACGCCCAGGCCGGCAATCATGGTGAGCAGCTCTCTCCCGCGAGACAAAGGGAGAGGAGGCATTTTCTGACCGATTTTAGATGTCAATCACTTTGGACCCGACGCTGGCAGTTTTAATCCTGAGCGATGGCTCAAGAGTCTAGACCCCCCCAACGAGGCCGATGCCCACGGGCTGGCTCATTTGAGCTTTGGCACGGGATCACGCGCCTGCTCGGGCCAATTCATTGCCTCGCGCATGCTGTACTCTGCACTGGTGCGGCTTTTGGCGTCGTACAAGTTTGTGGCCAGCGAGGAATGCCCGCCCAACACGGATTACGTGGATTACAACCAGTTTAAGACGGCGCTGGTTGCCATTCCGCGCGAGTTCAAGGTCAAGTTGATTCCGAGAGACACGCTGATGACAAGCAAGTGTATGGACGCTGCCGAGGAGCGGACGCGTGACCACTACAAGGCGTGAACGGATTTTTTTTTTTGGTCGGAATAGGAATCCAAATAAAATGAATACATGTCTTGTTTGCGTAAAAATTAGTCTCTACTAAGCAAAGTAATTGTATCTAAGCCGTTCTCTGCGCCCATTGCCAAGCAAAATGCCATGCTACGTCATCAAGAGGGCCATTCGCGACCTCTGGAATGCCCCCCCCCCCCCCCCAAACCGTAATGTGATATTACATTTTTGGAATATTTTACCAGATTCTCCCGCTTCTCTTGATGATGGAAGAGCAAGAATACCCCACTGATGAGTCAAGCTCCGCCCCAGAAGCGAGTGCCTCATGTTGTCGGAAGTTCCGACGAGTTGCATCCCGTCGCTGCCAATGGTGGATCGGTTGAGCTATTGCATTGATATACTGCCAGCTCTTGACTGTTTGGAGCAGAGATGTCGACTGTCATCCATCTCACTTCCCACATCGTCAAACATGACTAGCTTTGCATCACAGAACCTATTCTCAGTCAAGGGCTACGTGGCCGTCGTCACGGGAGGACGCAGTGGCATTGGTTACATGATCTCCAGGGTACGTTGGCCTTTTTTGTTGGCCCCCCGAAAATGCCGGGCTCACACGCATTTTGATTTACATGGGATATAGGGACTCGTCGCCAATGGTGCAAAAGTGTACATTGTGGACATTGGGCCCCTGGATGAACAGCTCGTGCTGTTGAATGAGCTCGGCAAGGAAGCTGGCGGCACGGCCCACGGGTATAAGTTTTTGTCAATGGGCGCTTACATTGCTTTCAATACACTGACGAATCTCCCCCCACAGCATGAGATGCGACGTCTCTGATAAAGATGAGATTTCGAAGCTACTGGCTTACATCAGTGAGCGGGAGGACCACGTCGACATGTTGGTCTCCAATGCTGGTATCAGGAGAGATCCCCCACGGGCGTGCAACGTTTTGAAGGCGCCCTTGTCTGAGCTACAAGCGTCTCTGTGGTCCTCGCATCCGTCAGACTGGGTCGATACCTTCAAAGTCAACACTACGGCTCACTACTTCCTGACTGTGGCGTTCCTCAAGCTGTTGGACGCCGCCGCCCAGCGTGATCTGGGTGACGGCCGCGTAGGTCGGAGCGAGGGCCGCGGAATGGTGCTCCTGATGAGCTCATGCGCAAGCATGCACAATGCGACAAATGTTGATCTGACTAGCTACGCGACGAGCAAGGCCGCTACCGATCATCTGGTCAAGTTGCTGGCGGCAAAGCTTAGTCGCTTCTACATTCGAGTTGTGGGCATGAACCCTGGCTGTAAGTTGCCTTTTTTTTCTCTGCATTGCGAGAATCATGACGAAATGGCAAAACTGATTGATACAGTCGTACCGAGTAATATGAATAAGATTGGACAGGAGGACAATATATTTAGTAACTTGTTCGACAAGGTACCGGCCAAGAGAGCTGGTGACGAGCAAGACATGATTGGCACAGTCCTGTTTTTAGCCAGCCGGGCAGGGGTAAGTCATTCTTGGAGAAACATATTGTCTGCCCTTGAGGATATCAATCTTACATTTCATCGCAGGCATATGTTGACGGAGTCAATATCTGCGTCGATGGTGGTCGTGTTCTGGTCGCCAATGGCCAGGAATAATTAAGGGATACATCACTCTACGTTGGCCACCAGATAATAAAAGATGAATTCACGCAGATCTAATCCTGCCATACCCAATCGCCATGTTCAAATGCATAAATAGTAATATCGGCAGTTTCCATAAAAACGTCTGTGTCTCTGTTGTCGGGGGTGCCGACGAGTCGCAATACCCAGATCTACCACTTATTATATGAGAGGGACGGCGCTATTCCTTGCCCATTCATCGACGACTGGATATTCAAGTGCGTACTTGATGGCATAGACTCACTACACCAGCTAGCGACAAAATGTCCATTGTAAGTCTTTCCGACGACGTAAAGTAAGTGCTTTTAATCATGTCGCAAAGCTCCATGGCATCCTGCTAAGCAAGCTCGAGGTCCAATCTCAACATCGAGGACATTCAAGTATTAGCAAGCCGGCTGAACGCGACTTTGATTGAAGAGAAGGATGCTCAAGATTATCTCACTGTCCTGAGGTCCTTCGAGGCCATTATGGGTACGATTGAGAATGCATCCGACTACGTGCCAACGGAACTACGACCCCAGGCCTCGACAAGCCCTCGCACCTGCTGGAGACCGAAAACGCAGGACAACCCGTGTAATGCCTGGAGCCACAGGTGCCATATTCCATCTCCGTCACCGACTACCGACTTACTTGCCGGGCGCACCGTGGCCATCAAGGACAACATCTCAGTGGCGGGGTTGCCGACGACTCTGGGCGTACCTGCGACTCTCTTCTCCAATGCTTCTCATCCCGTTTCAGATGTCGATAGTTCCGTAGTATCGCGCATACTGGATGCCGGTGCCATCATCAAAGGAACCTCGACCTGTGAAAGCTTTTGCGCCTCGCCCCTGTCCTTTACATCGGCAAGTGGTCTGGTCCACAACCCGCACTTGCGCAACTACACCTCGGGCGGGAGCAGCAGCGGGTCGGCCGTCTTGGTCGCCTCGCATGCGCTGAAATCGAAGCGAAGCGGTGCCTGGGGCGAAACTGTTGAGCTGGCTGTCGGCAGCGACCAGGCCGGATCGGTGCGCATCCCCGCGTCGTATTGCGGCATCTACGGCCTCAAGCCTACCTTTGGCCTCGTTCCCTATACCGGAGCCGTTTCAATGACGCCCATGATTGACCATCTTGGGCCCATGGGTAACACGTTGGAGGACGTTGCTGCTCTTCTCGAGGTCATGGCCGGTTATGACGGATTCGACCCTCGTATGAGCCCAGAAACGCCTCTGCCGTCACAAACGACGCCGTATCTGAGCATCCTATCGACGCTCCGGCACGAAATCTCATCCTCTCCAAGACCCGGTAAGGATTTCAGGGTTGGGCTTTTGGAAGAATCCTTCTTGTTGGCCGGAGTATCGGATCAAGTCAGGATGACTGTCACGCGCACAGCAAGAGACTCCTTCAAGGCTATGGGTGCCACTGTCGTGGGTGTATCCGTCCCCATGCACCTGCAAGGACCAGCTATATGGACCGCGGCAACGAGACCATCCATGTCCTCTCATCTCTTCCAAGGGCTTCCCTCGGGTCACCTTTCGTACCTGCCAGGTCACGTACGCCTGCACTGGCCACCGTCACAGTCGACGCTGGACACGTTAAAGGCCAACAACCCCGCGGTTGTCAACATTTTGCTGAGCGAACTCTTTGCCCGAAACATGAACACGCAGGGCCTGGAAGCTAAAGCGCATCGCAAGGTATTTGAGCTCCGAGCGGCATACGATGACGCCTTGGCGCACGTCGACGTCCTCGTTACGCCCTGCGCCCCAACAGTCGCCATGCCGCACCCGGAAGCGGACACGTCGATCCTGGAACGCCTCAAGGTGGGAGTCGGTGTCACGAGCAACACATGCCCGTTGAACATTACCGGGCATCCTGCCATGAACGTGCCGTGTGGCTTTGGTAGGGATGCTCGCCAGCCAGACGTACCATTGCCCATTGGAATGCAGATCGTGGGGCGGAGATGGGCGGACGACCAGGTGATTCGGGCGGCGGCTCTATTTGAACATGGGCAGCATCTATTTGAGAAGAATTAATGGTGCTGGGCAATGTAGCAATCTCTTGACATTAATACTACTGAGTAGAGCAAACTATTGTTGACCTGCAAGGAACCTGCCTATTTGTACATCCATCCAAGCCATGTCTGCCAGATCGACTCCAAGCCCGGCTAAATGACCCCATATTGATGGTATAACCTGGAGGGTCGCGCGTGGAATCATGTGTGATTCCTTTTCGGATGCTTCCCACCGAAAGTACTGATCAGTGCGGCATGGCATAAGCAACACACGCGCCTGAATCAATGAACAAGCTTGGCGTAAAGACACCTGCTCGCCCTCGCTCTGCAAAATCTTTGTAATGTCGCCATGCTGCCATGTACGAATCTTGGATAGCAAATCATCGGGATGCCAGTCATGGTAGTTTGTGCCAGCGACCTCACGATCCCAGTCGCTCAAGGTCTCGTAGCCAAGCGACTTGTACATTTCCTGATCAAACCACTCGGCGCTGGTCAACCACGCAGAGTATGCTTTTCCAAAAGCCCGCAATCCATGCAGCAATGGTTTCTTCTCTGTCGCCTGCGCTGCTGCTGCCGGCGCCGGCGCCGTGCCCGGCTTATAGTCGCACGAGTTCTCCAGTGCAGACTTGGGCCCCTCCAGAAACTGGTAGTTGTGACGGCTGCTTCGGGCCGATGAGCATATAATGACGGCATTGAGAACCGCTTCCGGATACATGAGCGTCCAGTGATATGCGCACTGGCCGCCCATGGAGAAGCCGAGGACAAGGTCCAGCTTGGCGGCGATCCGTAGGCGGTAGAGAAGAAGATGGCGCTGCGCCCGCACGCAGTCTCGGTAATCAAACATATCTGGGGGGTTGGCCATGTTTGACGGACTAGAGGACTCGCCATTTCCAAATAGAGCCGCGACTATGACTCTGTAGTCTTTCAACGCGCCATCAGAAAAGGTCGGGGTTGAGTGAAGACGACCGCGAAAGCATGACAGCACCAGAGCGGTCTTGTCGGAAGTTGGATTGATATCGAGGTAGGCTACCTTGACTGAAGCCGCGGGAGAGCCATCTTGGAATTGGAAATTGTCAATCTGATGATATTGAATCGGATGAAGACGCATCATGTGTGCTGGTGGCGACAGCGCGCACCTGGTGTATAGAATGTCTGGGGTTTAACCAAGCCAAGGTGATTCATGTGCGTACAATATAACTAGTCCGATTAAGTGTACATGTATGAGCTCTAACTACAATAAGCGCGCCTCGATCCCACGCAGCTGAAGCGTGATCGGGGTGTCCGACTACATATCTACAACCCGGCTTTGGAGAAGATGCTCAACCTCACAAGCGCCTGTCTACACTCGGCAATGCACTCTATTATGTACTTCTGCTTTGATTGCGTCATTTTAAGAATTTAGACTAGATAGTACAAGTAATCTGATGCATAAACGTGTACCAATTTTGGGTTGTTGCTATATGTCGTTAGCAGCCACCACGGACCTTGAGGACACGAAGCACCAGTCAAACGACATCTACGATACCGCATCATGGAACTCGGCTTGGATGTTATCAAGGTCGGCTGATCCGCCTACCTAGGACTTATCCAAGGGCGATTCACCAACACAGGCTGTGAGCTGGTGTCGGGCAGGCCGGCCTTGCGCCGTCGGCCGCACCGCCTACACCCCCGCCTTATCTTCGGACTAGACCCGGAAGAAAGGGACAGGTCGGAGCATAAATCAAGACATAGATAACGTTGCAACAGTGACAATTGCCATAGGAAGAAGCATTGTACATCTTGGACAGTTCTGATTGTTTCGACTCGGTACACACACACACACACTTTGTGCTCTCTATTCCTTCAAGATGTCTCCCAACGGTGACGCATTCCTCCTCAAGCCGGACGCTCCCGAGGGCGCTACCCGATTCCCGCAAGCCCGCTTCGCACCAGCCACTTCTCATCGCACCCTCTACGTTTCTGGCACCGCCTGCGTCACCCCCGACGGCCACTGGCCCGGCGTCACTGACAATGCAGACGGCACGCGCACTCTAGACGTCGGCATCCAAACCGCGGCCGTTCTCCAAAACATTGACAACATCATCAAGGGCGCGACCAACGGCAAGGGCGGCGTCCAGAACCTCGTCGACTCGGTGGTCTACGTCTTGGATATGAAGACGCACTATGCTGGCATGAACGAGGAGTGGAACAAGGTCTTTACAACGCGCGCGTCGGCCCCGGCACGGGCTACTATTGCGGTCAAGGAGCTGCCGGACCCGCGCATGGTTGTAGAGATTAAGGCGACTGCTGTAGTTGAGGCATAAATAAGACTGGAACCGATGATGCGAGAGTAAAAGTAGTGTAGTGTTATTACAATGCCATTTTTTGTAATAGGTTGCAATATTGGTTGGGCTTGTATGAGGCTTGGTGGCTTTCCACTAGTTGATAATAATAAGTCCAAGTAACGACTGGGCTTGAGGGGTTGGCAAGAAACGGCGCACTACAGTCTACAGCCTCATGAACCTCTAAATTTAGGCCGATTAGTTCCTTTGTGGCGTAGGCGCTACCCCGCGATCCCATGGGGGTCTTGGCGGCCGGAGGAAACCCGGGGATGCAAAGGGTCGGGATGTGTCGTCATATTTATCCTGCTGGAGAGCGAGCACGTTGTGTCCTAGCGCCGGCTTCAGTCCTCCTCCTATTCACACCTCGTCTCCTCGTCTCCAACGGCTGCTGCCATTTGTCTATTCCTATTTTCCTCCCCTCTCTCTGACCTGCTTGTAGTTTGACTCTTGGCGACATACTTTGTCAATGGTGTTGGAAACCCTATATGCACGCGCCGGGGCGTCATGTGCCCGGTGTCACAAGCGGAAGAAGAAGTGCGACAGAACATTGCCCTTGTGCAGGAACTGCCATTCGGCACGCGTGCGGTGCAGCTTCCAAGATGACCAAGGCGAAACTGCCTCTTATCCTATAGAGTGAGTGCAAGATATTACGATCATGGCAGACTTTTGGGTCTCACGGGATGCCCACGGGAGGGGAGGGACGGACACAAAACGACAGCGGCGCAGAACCTCGGGTTTCCCTCTGTTTTTGCACTCTACGCTCTCCGGCTGCAAACAACCCCCCCCCCCCCCAACGCGAATTCACAACTAATTTGCCAGCAGCTATGTCCGCCGTCTAGAACAGAGACTTCAGACACTAGAGAACTCTGTCAGTGCCGACTCCAGATGTATACTACAGGACCCCCGGCCGCCTGATGTTGCCCTGATAGCGCGTAACCCCAACGACTTTCAGCTACGAGGCGACACGGACCTGAACCACCCGTCCGAGGCCATGGCTGAAGAGGGCCATTTCCGTACAGAAGCAAAGGCCATGGGAAATCCCCATGACTATCAGCTTGGCGACGCGAGTCTAAGCCACCAGTCAGAAGCCATGGTTGAAGATGATATGGGACGCACCACCCAAGTCAACACCACGATTGACCCCAATGACTGTCAGCTAGGCGACGCGAGTCTGAATCATCAGCCAGAAGCAATGGTTCAAGACGATTTCCGCACTAATGCAAACGTCAACTCGGTAGCTGTAGATCCTTGTCCTCAGCAGTACCAGCAAACGAGTCACGACAAGGCACCGCAGGCGCCCGCAAATTTTGTCGAGGAGCTTCGGAATTTGTCCCTGGAAGCTACCGCCGAACGGCATCTCGGATCCACGTCTGGTCTCTCGTTTGCCAAGCTCACCCAGTCGGTGCTGCGGCGACTGACGCCGGACAAGGCGGACTTTGTCTTTATCAATTACCAAGAAAACACGGCCAATGCTTCACTGTTTGATCTGGATTCACCATCTGACGTTTTTGGTGAATCTGTATTGCAAGGCTTGAGTGAGTCTGTATCCGCACATCCCGTTCTCTTTGGCGACCTCTTTCTCGCCGATTTCACGGAATCGGATAGCAGCGCCCTGAGCGCAGTGGCCCTGCCGAGCGACCAACGCCACATACGTCGGCTCGTCAACTTTTACTTTGCGCATTCTCACACACTATACCCCATACTCAGACGGTCCGACGTCATGCGGACACTGGACAAGATTAGTGGGAATCCGCACAAGCTGGACGACCAACCGCCTCTCGAGGTGTTTCGCCTCTGGATGGTACTCGCCATCGGATCAACAGCGTACTCGTCCATCTCACTAACAGAAGAGTCCGAGTCTCGCTTGTACTTTAGCAAGGCTTTGCAGTACTCGGAGCTGTCTCTGGGGGCTGATGACATGGTGAGCTGACAGGCCATAGCTCTTGCTCCTTCCCCCCCCCTGGATTGACTAACCAGGTGTTCTGGACAAAGTCTGCGCTTGAAGTGATTATACTCCAGGTTTCATACTCTTTCTTCAATCAACTAGGCCCCAGTACGTTTTAACGGCACTACCATTGGCTCCAAACTCCCTTAGACTTACTAAACTGATGTGTGTGTGTGTGTGTGTGTGTCACCTAGATACATGGTTTCTCGTAGGAACGGCAGCTCGGCTGGCGCTAGGCATGGGCCTGCATACAAAGTCAACATACGTCAAACTGTCCACCGAGGCGGCTGAAAGATGCAAGCGCGTCTTCTTTTCTATTTACATGATGGATCGGCAAGTAAAAAAAAAACATGCACCATCTACCCGCGTGGAGTTTTGAATTTGCTAAGTGTTGGCGCGATTAGCGTTGTATCTGTGGCATTGGGCCGGCCGTTTGCCATCCATGACAACGACATTGATGTCGAGGTAAGCTTTGGCTGTGCGGAAAAAAAAAAAAAAAAAAAAGAAACAAGAATTAATTTCTTTCTTGTGCTAGGATTTCTCAGCCATAGATGACGATGAAGATTGCGCTGATGGTACCCCACAAGACGTAGGACAGCCGTCTACTCTTGTGGCGCCTCTGCATATTCTCGCCTTGCGCAGAATCGCAAGCAAAATCTCGAGAGAGATTTACTCGGTCGGCAAGGCGGGCGCATACATGACGGAAGAGCAGCGCGAGGAGACGCTGTCCCGCCTCCACCAGGAACTGCTCGAGTGGCGCCGCAACCTGCCGTTCCCGCTGCCTGATTTCGAGGACAAGGTCCCTCATCTGACGACGACGTGGTACGACTTTAACTATTACACCCATCTCGCCATGATCTATCGCCCGTCGCCGCTGTGCCCTGTCCTGAATGTCAAGCGAATCAAGATTCTCGAGAATGCAGCGTGCATGTCGATCCGGCAAGCCTACAGCATGCATCAACAAGGGCGGCTGGCGTACAACTGGCTTAATTTTCTAGCCTTGTTCACGTCGACGATATCGCTCGTGTACGCCGTCACTGCGCAGCCAAAAGACTTGCCTACCGTCCTGTCCGAGACTAGGGTGATTGAAGACCTGGATCTTGTGCTCAATCTGTTTGGTACCCTTGGCATAAAGTTTTTGGCAGCTACCAAGATTCGGGACATGATCCAGGAAATCTCAACAAGATACAAATCCATTCTGGCTGAACACAGTCAGTACCGGGGATCATCCGGCCTTGTGTAACTGTGTTTTGGTACACGGGTTAAGTACAGGTGCAAGTATCTATCTACATTGAAAAAAAGAAAATCAACAACACCCTTGTAAGGGGAATGGGGTTTTTACTTGAAAGGTAACTCTATTCTTCACCCATATAACTGATCAACGCCGACCTGATACTACCTAGGTAAGGCTAACAATACTTACTAATTTAGACATGTAATTCATCAGTGTAATAATTGATTAGCAATTTATTTCATCTATATCTAAGCCCAGCTTTTATTTACTGAATTACATCCGCGAGGGTTGAGCATGTTTTCATCTAAGAGCTGCCTTTGACTAAAATAATGGTATAATTAGCTCCCTACCTAGGCTGGAGCTCCCTAAATTGTTTGTGGCTCCCTGCTTGGCGCATCTACAAACAGGTGTGCCCGCCGCCCGAAGATGGAACTCAGCACACTAACACATAGACTCTACATGTATTCTTCTTTTTTCTTCCCTCGAGTGAAGGACTGGTAGTTTTAAACAATCAAGCTGTAAGGAAGAGAAAAAGACTACTTTACTTGTGTTGGAAATTCGCCCTCAGGTAAAGAGAGGCGCAAGCCAGGCGCAGGGCGCAGGCGAGCATCATCACAACAGCTCATCATCAGGTTGCCATCTGTCCCGACTTCTTCCTTGATCATCCCCGCACCGATCCTCCTTTGCCAACCTGGGCCAAGCCTTGCCAGCCACGAAAAAGAGGAACGGGGATGGTCACGTATGCCAAGTGACGAAAAAAAAAAAAAAAAAATCGTTGCACATGCCCAACCTGGTGTGTTAGCCCGCGTTAATCCGTCTGCAAGGATCTACTTGATGTGGCTTCAATAATCTGGTATAGGTGTGCCGACGCTCTCCTAGCGTTTTGTGTAGTGTATTGAAAGCGAATAGAAATATTGCAAGTGATTTTTTTTCCCCGTCCAGTCTATTCATCATCTGTCGCTGCCCAATCCCAAAGGGGTATATACTGTAGACTTGTTTTCGCCGTCAAGTCTGCATGTCAAAGCTCAAATCAAACAGCCTCGAAAATAAGATAAAAACACCAAGTAAAAAGAGAAAAAGCAGGCATCAAAGGAAAGGTGATTCTTGCCAGAATCTGTCTATCGAAAAGAAAAGAGTAACGCCCATTCCATATCGGCATATATGCGCACCATCTTCCTCCTGCCACGACCCAAGATGTCCGAGACAGCCCCGAGCAACCTGCCAAGGCAGATTCACAATAGGCCATCATTCCAAATCTAGAGATCGCAAGCTGAGAAAATGGCCTTCATAAGTTTTGCAGCCGTGCCAAACGCCTCCTGTAGCCCATTTTTTTTTTAAAACCAGCCCAAACTCTTCGTGCGTCTTGCGCACCAGGGTCTATAGTGTAAAACAGAAAGCAAAGGGAAGAAAAAAGGAGTCATAGGTGTGAGCAGCCGAGTATTGCAGGAAGCAGCACTCGAGAGGAAGGAAGCAAAAAAGTACAAAGTAGCTAAGACGATCTCGCCTATAACGACTCTGCATAGCAAGTAGCAACAGCGAAAGAGGCCCAAACTCTTTAATACCGTTGTGTTCCTCCTCATACCTCATGAGCTCGTTGACAATTGTGCCCGGACCAAAAACAACAACAAACGTAGCCACACCACATGATGAATTGCCAAAATGTATCCCAAGTGGTCCTTCTAGAGATTCTCATTTATCCCATCAAAAACGCCTGTAGTGGAAAAAAAAACAGTCACGACGCCGTACCCTGTAAACCAGTGCCAGTGGAGAAAACAAAGACAAAATTCAAGTCAATCATGGCCATGCAGATGAGAAACGAGACTACATCTGCCAAAAGTTGTTTGCTGTTGCAGCACCGAGCGGATCAGGGCTTTCATCAACAGTGGCAATGCCATCATTGTAGTTGGGCATCCAGAATGCGGGATCCTCCTCGACAAGAGAAACGCCAGAACCAGCCATGGCAGCTGTGTCGGCGTTCTTGTAGAAGCTTTCGTAGTCGATGCTAGACAGATCAGCAGCACCAGCCGTCATGACATTCTGCCGAAGGAAGCCGTTGCCACCGAAGCCGTCCATGTCGTCGCCACCTGGCAAAAGATCTTCAACTTCAGAGACATCACCCGAGGTGGACGTGGTGTTGGCGAGGTTGGGGAGCTGCTCAGAGCCGCTGCCAAACTCAAAGAGTCCGTTGAAGCTGCGACCACCAGTCTGGCTATAGCTCGAAGGGGCAAAGTTGTCGGTGCGGCTGTCGCTGAACTCGTAGTGGCTCCAATCAACCGAGGCAGCCGAGAGACCAGCGCTGTACATGGGGCCATCGTGGTCAAAGCCGGAGCCAAAGAGGTCAAAGGAGCCGTTGTTCGCATAGGCGGCGTTGTCGATCCTGGAGAGATCAAGAGGTGGCAGATTGGCAGCGCTGAGGGGAAAAGGAGCGCCAGACATGAGGGGCGAGGCGGTTTCCGACTTGACGCGGCGTTCACGGGCGGCGACACACTTGGGAGTGTTGCGCACATCCGGGTTGTGAGTGAAGCTGAGGCCCTCGACGCCGGCACCGAGGCTGCTAGCGCTGTTGGCCGAGTTGACGCGGTTGAGCTGGTAGGGATTGCACTTTTGGGCAGCACGGTTGTGCTTGGCTGTGGGCTTGTGGTGGCCGTTTTCATCAAAGCAAAGACCGCCGTCGGAGTGAATGGTATTGGCGCGACGTCTGGGTCTGACGGGAGGCTTGGGGCGACTGGCGGCCAGAGCAGAAGCGTGAATGTCGACTATTTCTTGTTCCGAGTCGGATTCGTGAACGGTGTCGAGGCTTGGCTCCTTCTTGAGGGCGCAGGTGCAGCGACCACCGTGGTTGCAACAGCACGTCTCTGACGCGGGGGAGAGAACGAGTTAGACCCAAAAGGGTTGCGAGACGCACGACGAGAGGGTTCAAGGGGCTCACCAGTGTGTCCTTCGACGGTAGGCTGCAGGTGAGTGCACTTGCTCGTCTTCTCACCACAGTCGCACTTGATGTGGGCGGCGCGAGACTTGCGCATGGAACGGCAGTGGGCACACTGAGAGACGGGACGACCCTTTTTGTTGATGTGCTGAAGAGGGCGATCTGCGAGAGGGGAGAGGGAGTCAGAGACAAGCTGCAGAGCAAGAGACAAACAACGGCATAATCGACTGGATGAGGCCATCGCGGTGGGCGTGGTAGTGGGCGTGCGGTGGGCGGCAGTGGGCGTGGGGTTGGGAGCCGTCGCTGTCCGTCGCTGTAGGGGAGCGTGGCAGGGCCTGGGACACCGCTGAAGACTCACCCGAATGCTGGCAGTTGCTGACACGGTGCCCGCGCACGCATGCCTCGCAGGCGTACTTTTCGCCGTCAACTATCATTGCGAGAGAATGTATATAATCTGCTGCGGGCAGAAGCGAGGCAGGAACCAGTCCAGAGAAAGAGATAGAGCGACAGGAAAGAAGGAAGAAGATTGTGGGATTTTTCTTTGGGAAGAATAATAAGAGAAAGTAAAAGCTTGGGGTGGAGGAAGAAGATGGAGAGTCAGTCTGTGGCAGGTGGGTGTCTGTCGAGTGGTCCAGTCTCGGGGCCAGAGGTGTGTGTGTGCGAGTGTGTGAGTGGCCGGACGGCCAGCGGAGGCAGAAAGCAGAGGCGGGAAGACAAGTGGGCTCAAGCTTGGCCGTGGACTTTTTTTGGTGCGGCCTGTTCGGGGCGTTCGGGGTCAAGGTGTGTGTGTGGTTGATGAATGGTCACAGAGGTAGGCAAGTACCTTGGTAGCATGAGCCAGTGGCCCTTTGACCCAGGTAGTATTACCAGGTACACCACTGTAGGTAATAATAGCTGTAGAATAAGGTAGCTTCGCAACTACCTTGGTTACCTCGTTTCTGACTGCATGTATGTAGGCCAACTGGGTACCGACGTAGAGGTCGACTACCTAGGTAGTAGAGGGTGGTATTATCACTCTCGCGGTTACGACAACGGCAACGACGGGCGACAAAGGACGAGCGTGTCAGAGACTGAGAGGTCAGAGTGGCGGGCGGGTCGAATGAGCAGCTCGCCCCAGGGAAGGGTCCGTTTGTGCGGGCGGGTTCCAGGCTTGCCGCTGCAAAGGGAACAACTCTACCAGTATTACTCCGTAACTTACCTACCTTACCTGGGTGTGCTGGGCAGGTGGAGGAGGGGCGGCGCAACCGAGACTTGGTGCAAGGACAAGAGTATCAAGGTCGGGAAAGAGGGGAAACGACGCAAAAAATTGGTTAAGCCGGTAGATGGAAAAGTTTTTGCCGCATTGCTGATGGTATGGCTGTCTGTAAATAGGTGGTGGTGGCACGGTGCAGGTGAGTAAATACTGATTTACTGGTTGCTCAGACAGTCGTAACAAGCAGGAAGCAGGCAGGCAAGTAGGGTGTGTCAAGGCTGGAGGCCGGTGGGTGGCATGCAGGATTCGATGCAGTCCTGGCAGCCATGCAGACGCAGGCAGGGTGCCTACCTCTCTGGGTAACAAGCTACCTTGACATTATTCCAAGCTAGTCAGGTATTAGCGAACTGGTTCAGCCTCTAGAATAAGAAATATCCACTTGGTTTTAATCAATCGCAGAGAACGTCGCATTACTGATTCTCTACCAAGTCCTTGTCAAGCATGACCAAGTACCTGGTCTTGACCCTCATGAGAGTACCAATCAACGCCACCAAGATTACCTACAAGATGGCAACAGCGCCTCGTCTGACGATTCACAAAAGACACAACTGAGCATGGTCCTTTTTACTATAACTAGTACTTCCGATGCACAACAGGTAAAAGTGTACGGCTAGTACGGGTGGGACGGGGTCAAGGTCAGTGGCGGGCCCGCTTTGCCCTGTGTGCTCCAGCAGCGATTCTAGGTAGCGGTTGCTGGTCGCTGAGAGCTTGAGAAGCACGAGAGGGTCTGCTGGGCGAGCGCTGGCTGCTTGGCTGTTTGGCTGCTCCAGACGGCACCTTCAGTCCTTCACTGAAGAGTGGATGCCGTGGGCGTGTCAGTGGGTTTGCTGCCCCGTGGGCATGCGCCCTCGGCCCCCAGACCCAGTGGGCAACATTCAGTCTCCAACGACCAAGGGGGGAGGGGCTGACAGGGGCCGAGGAGATGGGAGCACCGCTGTATTATTAGAGCTGTGCCGCAGATGCCCCAGCACCACACAGAGGCCATGATGATGATGATGATGATGATGATGATACTTGCACTCATGATGCTGATAATGTGGGATACAGAATGCGGGATGGCCCTCGGTCCGACAGGAGGCAGGTACTGTACCTGCTACCTAGGTAGTGAAGCAATAGAGGAGGTTTTTGGGTCATCCTTGCAAGAAGTCAGTCAGTCTGGAATTCAAACGGTCAAGGACAAATCCCAAAGACAGAAAAGAGCCAAGTCTGCCCACCAATTTTGTTTCCCCCCTTCTTTCTTGCTCTGCTGTGCTAACCAAAAATAACACAATGTTCACAGCCTCTCTCTTCTCTCTCAGCTTCGCCTCATCAGCATCAGCAATACCTACTGTAATAAATGACCACAAAAAAGAGGACTGGAGTGGACCACCTCTTGCTCCTCGGAGTCCTCTCCCAGTAAAAGCCCCCCCTTTCCGGTGGGGCATGGCTCGCCTGCACGACGCCTTTCCGCCTTTGGTTAGGTGCCTGAGGGTCTGCCTGAGGTACTCATACCCTCACTGCCTCTGTCTCTCTCTCTCTGCCGCGCCCTGGTTGCCTGCCACGCCTGCCTCACACGCTCTCTGCACGATGCAAGCCATCGTGCGGTCAGTTACTTCACATCAACTTGAAGACATCCCTGCAAGCCAAAGCCAATTCGCTGATATCCTGCCTTTTCAAGTCGCAACAAAGTGTTCATCTGGCTGTCGGGGTCTTCTCTCTGATTCTCTGATGCTCCAGCTGAGTCTCAGTGTGGGTGCTTGGGTGCGTGAGCTCCTTGCCGGCAGAAAGTACAAGCAAAAACGGCCCTCAGGGTCCATCTATTGTATCCCAACGACAAGCGTCTGACAAAATCTTGGCGACGACTATTATCTTTTACTCAGCTCCATGACGGCTTCAATTGTTGCAGCAACTTTAACCATCGACAAGGCGGCGCCGTCCGCGCCCAGCGAATCACTTCGGACTTTTCTCTTCTAGCCTCGCCACCTGCCTCCTTTGCCTGCCCACCACCAATAGCTGGCCGCCTACGATGGCGAAAACCTCCGACGCAGTATCGGAATGTCGCTCGGTAGCGGACGGTACTATGAGCGGCCTGGCTCGGCCTTCTTCCAACCTGGGCTCCGCCAAGTTACATGCTGGTACATTGTATTAGACTTGCCGACCAGTCCAGCTTTCTCTCAATCTTACTCCGGCTTGCCACACCACGACTACTCCGCCCATCCGCCCACCCAGCAACAAGAGAGACAGTCGTGGGCCCTTTTTCTTCACAGACTTGGCTTCGCCTGTCCGTTGCTGCAACTGGTGCTGCTGCTGGTCCGCCAATGTCGTCAGCGTGCAGATGTCGGCTCGCTCAATACGGGCCCTCTCCGGCTCCTCTTTCACTACACTGTCAGAATATATTGATTGACCCGAGTCTCAAACGCCACGACTAATCCGCCCGCCCTAAAAGGAAACTCGAAGAGAAAGCCAGAGACCATTTGGCTTTTCAACACAAGCCAGGATTCGTATAACCTAATCAGCGGCGACCATCGCAGCAAAGAGCCGAGTGCTGCAATCTTTCGGACGTTCTGCCAGTATTTACAGTCGGTCTGTTGTAAAGGCATAAATCCATACCTTCCCTGTCGCCTCGTACGGACCCCGCGGCGTAGACTGCCTCTCTTGACCACGCACAAGACACACATGCTCCGAGCCAGGGTCCTGTCTCTAACCCAGCGCCATATTTACAGTCAATATTGGTGACCAGTCAATACATGGATAAAAATGGACGACGAAATGCATCTCGCCAATCCGTGCCCCGGCCACCCGCTCACGAACGTCGCATCCACGCGGGCGAGGCTCGCGCTAACATGAACACAGCAGCTGCCATTGTCGTGCAGTAGCCTCGCAACAGGTCTTGCCGAATGACGATGAGACACAGGTAACATTGAGTGATCTGCAGCCTTTGTGAAGAGACTCTTTCGAAAGCCTTCTGTAGCCCGCATCGGGTGGCTGGGGATGCATGATGCTTGGGGCTCTTTTTGCGACATGGGCTCGCTAAAATAACCGGAAACAACACCATTGCTATGAGGCCACTGGCGACACCCACTATTTAGCAAACCGCTTCAACCAAATAGCCAGAACAAGCATAGCCAGAAATACAGTGGCTCACGAGTGGATGATGTTGGTCCTCGAAGTCGTCACCCAGCCAAACCTGTTTTACCATGGCCCCAGAAGCAACATGCTGGATGAGTTCCCGAGAACGAAAGGCTGGAAGAAAGGGCTACTGGCCTCGTGCACCCTCGAATCATGAACACAGACAGCAGCCATGTACCGTCTGTGCTGCCACTGTTGTGTGGTGTCTGTTGGCGGGACGGATCAACGGAACCTGTTTTCTGTCTTGATTTAATTGATTAGCCGCTTTCTACTCCTTTTTCCTCCGGCCCCAAGAGGTAGTCGAGGTGGTAGTTTCGCGAAATTCCCCGATCCCGCACTTGCCGACATGTCGCTTCACCAGGTGGCATCATCGCCTGCCGTACCAGTATTTGACTGCTCGAAGGAGACGCTCCGGTTCGACGTTTTAGGCTTGACTTTCTCCTCTGCTGGGCTGCCCAGCCATCTGCTGCAACACGGATTAGCCCTCTTGGACATCCCTTGTTCCCCCATCCGTTCACCTGTTACGTACCTCGATCCGGCAGCCCACTTACAACTCTTTCTCCACCACGACGAAACCAATCACCAATCAGTCTGTGTAGCCCTCCTACCCTTCCTTTCTTCTTTGATGGAAGAGGAAAATTCGTGATGCTTTGATGAAGAGAAGTCTCATTGTTCATTCCTGTCGTTGAACTCTACTTCTCCGTCGACGCCGGCCGCTTTTTTTTTTTTTTTTTTGGATTTGAATCATCGTCTCGTGTCGGTGCCCAGTCAATACTTTCATCTCGTGCCGCAGTCGCCCATGGCCCAAAACATTCCCGAGAAACCCGTAACGCGGCTCGTTTGCGACTTGGGCCTTGTTACCAGACTGTCAGAGCCTGCCATTGTTGCCGCTGTTTCGCGTTGGGGGAAATGCGACGAAAAAATTCTCCGTACCCAGCTACGACTGCATAGCAGCACCACAGGCGCGTAGCGAAACTAAACATGAAATCAGCAATAATCCATTGATGGTTGGCTGCCCTGAAAAGCGGCTCACACTTGGCCGGCTCAAAGTTTAGCAGAATCGCCAAGTCTCAA